AGATAAAATAGCCACTTTGGAAAAACCTGACACTCCCTTGTGAAGTTAAACGGGAATGCACACATGTCTATGGCCCCAAAATTCCACTCTAAATGTGTACAAAAAAGAAAGAAATGTACATGTCTGAACAGAAACTCACACATAAAGCCATATTTAAGAAAACAAATGTAATAATAACCCAAGTGACCATAAACTGATAAATTGGTAAATCAAATAGATATGTTACTGTCATAAAAGAGAATATATTCAATAGTAAAAATGAATGGGGAGTGATGATATATTTGTATAAATTTTAAAATGATTATATTCAGTGAAAAAGCAAGCCATAAAAGGCAACATAGTTTATTATCTTACTTGTAGTTAATGCTCCTAAAATGAAATCTTATAGACTAATGTTTGTATAAGGACAGCAAAAGGAAGAATGACATTAGACACAAAGCTTCCTTCTTAGGTGAAGTAGATGGCTTAAAACAAGCTTTTCATAGTGCTAATGTAAGTCTATAAATACTCATAGTCATTAAACTGTGCGCTTCAAAAATGACAAAGTCAGAACTCATGTTAGTAGTTGTCAAGACCAGTGAGTAAAAAAAGGGAGTGGCCACAAAGGAGCATGTGAGAATTTAGGGGGAGAATGGAAATATTTTAGATCTCAACTTTGGTGTTGGTCATACAACAGTATATATTTATAGCCAAGTGCACTGAACTTTTAATACCTGGACACAATGAGATTTATCGTATATAAATTATACCACAATATAGTTGCCTCGTAGAAAAAGTTAAAATAGGAACAATATCTCCAGTCACACAAAAATTTAGAACATACATTTTTTGGGGGGTTCACACTACAGTTCTAGCAGCAGTTTTTAGACTGTGCAGCAAATGGAAAGGTTATTTGTGTAGCCCAAGATCCATTTCCCTGTGCAGTTGAAGGCCTTTCTCCTAACCTTCAGTTAGAAGTGATTAACCTGCAACATAATGACATTCCCCAAAGCAAATATAACAATAGATTTGTTTCTCAAGCAGCAACTGTGGTCAGTTAAAATCCTATACTCCTGTACCCCACTCCAATCATGAGAAAAATAGACTTTAAAAATATGTAACAAGTACATTTCAAAATTACCAAGGTCACCAAAACAAGTCAAATCTGAGAAATGGTCACAAGGCAAAAGCTTCTGAAGATGCAGAAACACTGTGTGATTCATACTATCATGGATAGGACACTGCCCATAGATAAACTAATGAAACTGGAACAGAGTGTGGAGAAGAGTTGATTAAAATATGCAATGTGCGTTTATCCATTGTGATGTGATAAAAGAGGGAATTAAAATGTTAACAATAAATGATTCAACAAATTCTGTTAGAACATTCTGTATAACAACCTTAGCTAACTGATATTACACCATATAAAAAAAGTTAACTCAAAATGAATCATAAATGCAAAAGAGAAAACAAACTTTCCAGAAGAAAAAAATGAGGAAATAACTCATCAAAATCTTTGATTCTGCAATCTTAACTAGGTACAACACACACACACACACACACACACACACACACACACACACACACACACGGTGGGGGGCGGGAGAGGGAGAGAGGGAGGAAGAGAATTCAAATTCATCAAAAATCAAAATGTGAGTGAGGCCTGGTGACTGATTGCAGTAATAGCAGCACTTGGGAGCCGGAAGCAGGCTAATCACCATGTCTGAGGCAAGCCCAGGTTACACAGTGAGTTGTAGGCCAGCCTGGACTACAGAGTGAGACCTTGTCTCCAAAAACAAAACAAAACAAAGAAACACCAGGCAGTGGTGGCCCATGCCTTTAGTCCCAGCATGCGGGAGGCAGAGGCAGGCAGATCTCTGTGAGTTTGAGGCCAGCCTGGTGAGTTCCAGGACAGGTTCCAAAACAATACAGAGAAACCCTGTCTCCAAAAAACATACCATTGTGATGAAGAAAAATCTGAACACAGGGGCCCACACCTGAAATAGCAAAGGCAAAAGGAGTGCAAGTTTGAGACTAGCTTGGGATGCACAGTGAGACCATGTCTGAAAAACCAAGATAGCACAAACAGAAGCAAAGCAAAGCAAACGGGAAAAGACTATAACGGGTAAGTATTTGCATAACATTCACCTGGCAGGGACTAGGATTTAGACTATGGAATAATTGTTACAACTTAATAATTAAATGGCAATCGAATTTTAAAATGGCAATAAACACAGACGCAGACGCTTATGTATATAAGATAGACCAACAGCTTGGAAGCACTTAAATAGAGGTTTTCTGCCACCCTACTCCTTATGAAAATAAACACTGAAACTACAATATATCATTTCATACTAACTTAAATGGTTATAATTTTTTAAACGGCAAGACACACACCTGAAACATTTGGTTTCAGCATTTGGGAGGCTGAGGCAGGAGGATTGTGAGTTTGACGTCATCTGGACCTCACAGTAAGACTCTCAAACAAAGCAAGAGTCCAGTCGATAAGAAATGTGCCTGAGGCTGCGATGCAACAAGAACCCTCATGAACAGAATGCAGCTGCTGCTTTGGAAAACAATTTTTGTAATTGCTTTCAAAGTTAAACATAAATTGTCCTATTACCCAGGAATTCCACTTCTAGGTATCTAGTAACAAGAGATGAAGACAAAATGTCCACACAAAGATGTGCACACCAGTGTCTTAAGCAGCATTAGTCATAATACTCAACAACTAGGGGGGGGGAAAACCCACCAAATTTCTATCAGTTGGAGACTAAGTACCCAAAAAACATATTCCCCATATTAGGCAACAAAAGGAAGTTCTTACACACGCAACAATATGGTTAAGTCTCAAAACTATTATTCTGAGTGAAAGAGGCCACACTCAAAAGACCACATATTACATGATTTCATTCATGTGAAATGTTAAGAATGGGCAAGTTTATAAAGACAATGAGTACACTAGTGGCTGCCTGGGCAGGAAGTAGGGATAAAGATTAACTGGAAATGAGCATGAAATCTTCCTGGGAGGATCAAACTGTTCTACAGCTGATGCATTGTGATAGCTGCAGAACTCTGAAACTTATAAATAATTGATTCATACTTAAATAGGTGTATTTTATTTAGTTTTTGTAGTGCTGAGGATTGAACCTAGGGCCTTGCACATGTGGGCTAAATATTCTACTACTGCGCCCTCCCAGCACCAGTTGAATTTTATGCTATGTAAGCTATCACAACCAAATTGTTAAGTAGGGAGGGAAAGGCAAAACTGGGTGGCGAATATGTAGGAATTCTGCACTATCTTTGCAACATTTGTTTTACACAGGGGGTTTGCTATCTCAAACTCAAAGAGATCTGCCTGCCTCCACTTCCGAAGTGCCAGGATTAACATTGTGAGTCACAGCACCGAACTTTGCAACTTTTCTATAAATCTAAAACTACTCTGGGAAAATGTTAAAATTTATTTAGATCAAAATTAGAACTTATGGCCTTCAAGATGGTTCCTCAGGGGAGCAAGATGATCTGTACTAAATCCCCAGAACCCCACAATAGAAGCAGATAATCAACGCCCAAAAGTTGTTTTCAGACTTTCACGTGCATGCCAAGGCATGTACACACACACACACACACACACAAACACACACACACAAACACACACACATACACACACGGGGGGGGGGGAGAAGGCAGACAGAGATGTACACAATAAAATATTCTTTAAAATAATATGTTCATGGATTATTAATATTTGACAGTAGCTTTCTGTGTGAAAAGATATAGATAAAATCCCATTAACTTAAGAACATCTGGAATCAGTTTTCATGATAGAGAATGTTAACTTTAAACCTCAATTAAGCAAAACAGTACATCTCTCAAAGAATGCTGATCTCAGTATTTCTGTGTTAAAAATGTAATTTGATCAGTTAACCTTGTCATAAGTTGTCTTCTAGACTTGGTTTTACCATTTTCCCTGAAAAAGCCTCAAATACCGATGATCTGGCATTTAACAAAGTTTGCTAAGCCCTGTTCTATACCACATCAGGACAGGTATAAACACAATCAATCACTTTTTAAAATATATTTTTACATTTGTTTGTTAAAAAAACCCTTTTGGATATGCTCTATAAAAGATAAGCCTTGCATCTCTTCTGCTACAGCACTATTTGGAAGTTTCCTTAAAAAAAAAAGAAAAAAGAAAAACAAACAAACAAAACCCATATTGTTAGCTTAACGTTCTAGCAAGCTTTGATGTAATTGTCGTAACCATGATATTAAAGTGGTAACATCATGCCCCAGTATCCCTAAGGTGACCGCAGTTAAGTAGCGATGTCACCAGGCTACAGACTCACTGAGGTCTCTTAGGTATCGAGTGGCTCCTATGGCATCACACCCTGTCTTTAGCATCACTCTGGCACATCACCTCTGTGTGGTATCATGTGTAACCGCAGCTGTGGCAGAACCCTACTCTGATGCCACTCTGCAGGGATGCCTGGGTAACTAGCCTGTACTTCCTTCCACTCCTTGGACAGTGGCGGGAGGGGGGGGGGGGTAGCTACAGTCAGTGGTTCAAGCTCAAGAGGTAGTACTCAGATCCAACTACTGTCCCTTCCGCCTGCCACTGCAAGGAAGGCCCAGAGAGAGACAAGATCTTTAGGATCCCAGAACTATCTTGCCCTGGTATAGTTTCCGTTTCATGTTGCCTATTTACTGGCCCACCAACGACCACCCACCCTAGCTCTTTCATACTGTGCCTCCAGAAGCCGCTCCCATTACCTGACTCCATTCTCCAGCTGTCATCCTGGGCCAATTCCACCGGCAACTTGACTACGGCTTTCTCAGAGCATTCCGGGACTTGTAGTTCCACATTGCTAGGAGCCGGAACCGAGTATCCGGCAAAGACGCCGCCAGGCCCGGAAATGCCTTGAAACTTCAACTCCCAGAAGCTCCAGGCTATGGAACGGGCAACACGAAAAACAGAACAGTGATTGGAGAACCTCTAGCTCGTTGATTGGCCGCCGGAACAGGAGACATAGTGGGCGGGGCTTGAGTTTCACGGAGATCCTGGGAAGACGAAATGGAGGGGTGTGTGTCTAACCTAATGGTCTGCAACCTGGCCTACACCGGCAAACTGGATGAGTTGAAGGAAAGCATTTTGGCCGATAGAACTCTGGCTACTAGAACCGATCAGGTAAAGCAGCCCAAAGGCCTGTTGCCTATCCGCGTGCGTCAGCGACCACGGACCTGAGTTGGTCCAAGGCCACTTCTGAGCTCCTCCCTCCCCTTCCTCCGTCTCGTAGTCTTGGGTTAGCTCCAGACTTGCTGTTCAGCTCTAGCCCCCAACAGAGATTTTGGGGGGGATGGAAGAGGTGACAGGCGCTTAGCTTGCTGAATTTCTTATAGTTCTAGAACATCTACCGCTTTCCTCGCAAATGCCCTGGCTATGAGACAGAGTTTTGCGAAGAACGCTTTTCATGTGGATTTCTTTAGTTGTAATTCTCTTCAATGGACCACATGTAACTGAATGCTTATTTTGTGCCAGTAAGTTTGAGAGGAGCTGGGAAATTTTGTTTAGTAGGAAAAGTAGGCATAAATGAAATAATGACAAAACTTAACTTATTACATATTGTGCCTGCTCAAAGAAATTTACGTATTCATTTCAGAACATGCAAGGGGGAGGTTATTTACACCGTGAAGAAAGAATGGGATTTCCATGTCCAGTGGAACTGAGACAAACCAAATTAGATGGGCATTGTTGTAATCAACAATGCCTCATATTTTCTCCATGACTTTCTGAATCATAGATTGCCTTCTGTTTGATAGACACTGTGTTAAACACTAGCAAGACAATATATACTACATCAAAAATCTCCATGTTGTGTGTTTTTAGAAGCTAATTCAAAGCGAAGTGACTGTTTTCTCTGGAATTTTCCTTTATTACTCAACAGGTGAATTCCCCCCATGTTCAGCCATTTTGCTTTTGTTGTCTGGTAATATGGTTTAAATTTAATAAAGTGAACTACATTAAGACTTAATCCACTGAAAATGTCATTTTCATGAAAACCATTCTTCAATCTAGTCAGTGGCATAAAAGGAAGAATTCATCAGGATCTTGAAGCTTAACACAACCAAATGCAATTAATTTATGGACTTTATTTGCATCCAGATTTAAACCACCTGAAAAGGGTCTTGTAGGAAACAGTCAAGGAAAACTGAGGCTATTAATTGTTTTAAATGAGTTAATGTTAGTTTTATTTCTCTGATTTCCCTTGTTATTTAAGATCTGATCTCCCTATGTAAACCAGGCTGTCCTTCTACTCAAGAACTCCTACACACCAGCCTCCTAAGTCCTGGAAAGTTTTCATTCTACCCACGACAAAGAGTTAATGTTAATTTTAAAAGTCTAATATTGATCTTGTGGTTATTTACAAAAGCACTTTTACTTTTTAGGTGCTGAAATAGTAAGAGGTGAACAACCCTGACATTTAGAGCTCTGTTTTAAAGAAACCTCAGAATGCCAATGTGGTGGATTAGTGGTTAAGAACGCATACTTCTTTACTAGAGGACCAGAGTTCAGTTCACCTGGCATCCCCATGAATGTGTGGTCACATGCACAAACCCACACACATGCACACAATTAAAAGTAAAATAACTTAAAAAAAAAGAACTCAGGTAATAACAGTCTAGAAGTAAATATGGTGGGATATTTTTTGTTAATTCTAGGTAATGGGTGCACATGGGTCTCTCATATTGCCTCTATTTTATGTGTATTTGAAATGTTCGTATAGTTGCTGCTGCCTGGGGACACTGACAGAAAAGGCCACTGGTGTCCACAGCAGTGAGACTTCCAGCTGCCTCCCTCCCTGGGCATCAGCAGAAGCATCAAATGATATCAGTTCTCCTATTTTTCATCCTTCCTAGAGCCTCTCCCTCTGAACCAGGCAACTCCCTATGTGTCACAGTTAAGTTACTTTAAAGGCTGGGGTTATAGCTCAGTGGGAAAGTGCTTGCTTTAACATGGAGGGGTCCCTGGATTTGATCAACACACACACACACACACACACACACACACACACTACATACACACAAGCATACAATTATCACTTTATATTACTTAAGGCTAAGAAATATAGCAATCAACATAAATGGGGACTGTCTTTGACAATCATGATTTCTGTATCGTTATTTAAAAACCCACAATTTTATTGCATTGAATCTGTGGGGATGTGTATTTTTTAATGAAATACTCTCAACTACTTATATGACCATTTCTCATTTCTTTCTCCATAACATGTGTTCACAAGATTTGGTAGCATATGCCTATAATCCTAGCACTTAGGAGATGGAGGAAAAGGATTGAGAACTTGAAGCTAATGTTGGCTACATAGCAAAATCCTGATCAAAAATAACAAGACAAAAATCCACATCTTCATAGAACCTCTCACTTGAAGTCTGTGTGGTAATAGAGATTTCACAGTGACAGAGCTTGGACAGATTGTGTGATCCTGGATAAGTTGCTTATGTGAAGTACTCTTAGTTCCTTTGTGTGTAAAATGGGGGATAATAGGGACCATACACAATGGTGAGGGTCAAAAGAAAAGATGCGTGTAAAAGTAGCACAGTGTTTCACATAGGCATGCATAACTGTTGGAATTATACACAGTAAATCACCATCTCCGCCACTGTATTGAAACCAATGCTTTCATAACAATTCTGCCCTAATTCCTTATATTCATTGATGTCCTTCACCCTATGTTACTAATACCTTGACCTCGCAAATGCTAGTAAGTAATATGGTTTAAGGTTACCTACCTGAGGACCTGTTGCTCTCCATTTCTTATGTTCAAACTATAGGTTTGCCAGCATCAGTATGTTTTCTGCGTATTTGTCTTCGGGAATGTTGATAGCTGTGCTCCCCTGTCTCCCCTATAGGACAGCAGAACAGCATTGCACTGGGCATGCTCAGCTGGTCATACAGAAATCGTTGAATTCTTGCTGCAACTTGGAGTGCCAGTGAATGATAAAGATGACGTGAGTACTAGGCAGATTCGATAAGCTCTGGGTTATCTTTACACTCCAGCCTTGTACTTACTGGAGCCTGAATATTAATCTCACAAACAAAATTTGAACCTTTATTTCTAAGTAGAAAGTTACAGTGTGGGCTTAATGAATAGACAGGAGGCTAGCTAATGATCGCATTATTTTAGAACAGTGACGAAACTGTAATTCGGTGTGGAAATACAGATCAGGGCTTATTATTATGAACTCAAAAAGGATGAACATTTTTATGTTAAAATTGTTGCTGAATGTTGCCTGAATAGTAATGGCCTTGGTGTATGTGTGTTACATAGAAACATTTATTATAATGATATTAGTTATATTAAGACTTGTGGGAGCTGGAGAGATGTCTCAGTAGTTAGGAGTGCTTGCTTTCTTGGAGAGGACTGAAGTTCATCTCCCATGTTGGGTGGCTTACAGCCTCCTGTAAGTCCTGCTTCAGAGGACCTGACACCCCATTTTGACCTGCATGGATATGCACATAAGTAAAAAGATAAGACTTGGAAAAACTGAGAATGGAACCTGTTTTATAGGCACAGGCTAGTTTTCAGAGATGTTTACTGAAGTAATATTTATAAGAGAATATAAAGCAATTTTGTGGGAGAATGATTGAATAGAGCTGGTATACATACATTGTAAGTTAATATGTGATCAACCATAGAAAATTTTTTACAGTGGTAAGTAAACATTGTGGAAAAAAAACACCACAGGACTTCATATACTCTGATCCTAGCTTTTATTTTTTCTAAAGCTATTGTATGAAAGAAAACTTACTAGAATTAGTCTAATGTGCCATATATGTGTTATAGGATTGTGGCTATTTTTAAATGATTTATTTTTATTTGTGTGTATATATTAGTGTATGCCACCTATATAGCAGTTGCCTTTAGAGGCCAGAAGAGGGCATCAGATCCCCAGGGGCTGGAATTACAGACCAGTGTGAGCTGTCTGAACCAAAGGAAGGTCCTTTGGAAGAGCAGTAAGTGGTTTAACCACTGAACCATCTCTCCAGCTCATTTTTTCTTTTGTATAAATATTTGTTTCCAATCTTTCCACAGTATTTAATGGAGTGGGGAAGAATGTTGTTATTCACACAACTCTATAAACCTTGAATGAACATTAATGTTCATACCTCTGTCCCTTTTCTCCTTGCCTTTTGTAAAAATCCACCTTTTATACAGGCAGGCTGGTCTCCTCTTCATATTGCTGCTTCTGCTGGCCGGGATGAGATCGTAAAAGCCCTTCTGGTAAAAGGTGCACAAGTGAATGCTGTCAACCAAAATGGCTGCACTCCCCTCCATTATGCAGCTTCAAAAAATAGGCATGAGGTATGATTCTGTCCCTGCATTATTTTCATTGAGTTCTAAACATGAGCAGAAACCCAGATTTCCACATGGTTTTCTTGTCCTCCTTTCCAGATTGCTGTCATGTTACTAGAAGGCGGGGCAAATCCAGATGCTAAGGACCATTATGAGGCTACAGCAATGCACCGGGCAGCAGCCAAGGGTAACTTGAAGATGGTTCATATCCTTCTGTTCTACAAAGCATCCACAAACATCCAAGACACTGAGGGTAACACTCCTCTGTAAGTGACAAACAGCAGTTGTTATTATTCTGCTTATAAATGCAATACATGCTAAAAGCAAAAAACAAATTGAGAGGATACTAAGGCATAATGATAAAACTAAAATTGCCTACCATTTTGCTATCCCCTAAAAATACTGATAGCATTTTTGAGTATTTCCATCCAGTTGTCTATATACAGACATGTATATTTAGCATGTAATAGCAAATTTTAGATCATGTAATTTCATGTTTTAATCTCATAGCACACTGTGAGAATTTTTCAAAGTCCTTAAATAACATTTCAAACAGTTATCATGGCTGTATATAATTCCATTTTATGGATATACCATGATTTAATCATTTCTGATACTGTTTCCTTAAACAGCTTTGAGCCTTTGTCTATTTTAAGTAATGCTACGCTAACTAATTTGTTTTTTAAAAAAAAATTGATTGTGACCTTAGTATAGATTCCTAGAATTTGTTTCAACAAATAACACATACTTCAAGACAAATTGCTTCCAGAGGAGTTGTCTCACTGTCCCCTCCCAACAGCATCTTAACAGAGCCTATTACCTCCCCATCAGCACTAAAAGTACCCTCTTGTTATATGAAATATGACATTTCATGCTTAGAATCCACATTTGATTAGTGATTTTGAAAATGATTAATGCATACAATTGTAGCTTTTCGTGGCCTTTCTGTTCCCTTTTAGGATAATTCATTCATTTGGACAGATTCATAAGTGCTTTTGGCACAGTAAAAATAGGAACATTATGCCATATCAGTTGAAAATATTTTCCCAGTTTGTTATTTTTTGTTTTACAACTCTCATAAATTATTAATTACTATGTAGCCAAACATATCAATGTCCATCACAACTGGGAAGTTTTCTCTCATCCTAAGATGAATGAAGTATTCGCTTCTGTAACTCTTAAATCCATCTGGGATTGACTGATTTGAATAACTTGAAGCAACTTTTACTTTCAGGGTGTGTGTGTGGGGGGGTGTTTACCTACCCCTTTTTCTCCTTTGTTGAATAATGACCTTTTTTGAATCAAATTCTGAGTCTTTTTTGTAGTTCAGAATAAGGCTAAACCTTTCCCCCTCTGACTTTTAAGACAGCTTTTGAAACAATATTTTCAATGGCTGAACATACTGGCACATGCCTTTAATCCCAGCCCTGGGGAGACAGAGAAACTCTGTGAGTTTGAGTCAGCCTGGTCATAGCTATTTTCAGTTCAGCCAGGGCTCAAAAGTGAGACCCCATTTACAAAAAGAAAGAAACAGGACTGACCAGCCATGGTTGTGCATGCCTTTAATCCCAGCACTTGGGAAGAAGAGAAACAGATAGATCTCTGCAAGTTTAAGGACAGCCATGTTTACAGAACAAGTCTCTGTGGTAGTCAGAGAGATCCTGTCATTAAGAAGAAGTAGTGTTTAATTGAAAATAGATTCTTCTCTTATACAATACATCCCAACCACATTTTTCTCTTCCTTCCTCTCCCCTACCTCCCTTTTCCTCCATAACCATTTCCCCTCCGTTCCCTCTTTATTAAAGAGCAGGCCTCCAAAAGATACCAGCCAAGCAGCACACAACCTACAATAAGACAAGGCAAAAGACCTCATAACGAGGCTGGACGAGGCAGCCCAGTAGGTAGAAAAGATTCCCAAGACCAGGCAAAGGAATCAGAGATACACCTGTTCCCACTGTTAGGAGTCCCACAATAGCAGGCTAACAGCTGTAACGTACTCACAGTGGACCTGGTGCAGACCCACCCATATAGGCCCTGGCTTGCTGCTTCAGTCCCTGTGAGCCCTGCTTAGTTTATTACAGTGGGCCATGTTCCCCAGGTGCCCCCCATCCCCAATGACTAATAGTCTTTCTTCCCCATCTTGCACAGGGTTCTTCCCTGATGTCTGAGGGGAGAGACCCAATGGAGACCAAGAAAAGTATTGTTTTCTTAATTTTTACTTTAAAAAATCTTTCTTGTAGGCCTAAGCAACTGTGTGTGTGTGTGTGTGTGTGTGTGTGTGTGTGTGTGTGTGTGTGTGTGTGTGTGTGTGTGTGTTTAAATGAATATTCTGGCTTATTTCTCCATGACTCATTCAATCACATTGGCCTGGAAATAGTCTAGGAATTAGATAGTATAGGGTCTTTGGAAGAAAGTGGGATTTAAAATTTGATAGATACTGTCCATCAATACAAATGCTGCCATTTTTCAACTACATGAAGTATGCATATGAAGGAACTTAATGTTCCTTCCCCTTAATTTCCTCCTCTGTAACATTAAAAGAGTAGCGGCTTCACAGGATTGCTGTGAAGTTTAAATAAAATGCTGTGTAAAGTGCCTAATATTTTGCCTGTGAAACTCTATGTAAGTGATTGGCGGAGGTTGGTTTCTTTCTCAACCAGTTAGCTGTTCCTGTATCATAACAAAACTTTCACCTCTGTAACAACTTTAACTGTAAAACAGTGCTAATTGTGCCTTGATTTATCAGTGTAGATATACCAGTCTAGTGACATCAGATCTTTTCAATTAGTTTTCTGAAAGTCAGGAATTGTGATAGAAGCAGAACATGAATTGAAGTTTCTCTCAAGTCTAACTCTGAATTATTATTACATTGAAGTGTTCAAAGTAAATTACCATTACTCTCCATCGAATAAGGAAGTTGTGCCTTAGGCTAGCATGTGGAGCCAACTATGTATTTTAGCAGGGCCAGGATTCTGATTTATGACCTGGTATTATATAGCTGTTCTAGTTAAGTTTAATCTACAGTCTTTCCCATGCCAGTTGATTTCCCCTTCCCAATTAAATAACTTTCCAGTATTACCCCTGGCCAGTAATAGGTAGTTTAGCCTGGAAATCCTAACCATTACATAGAAATGATACTGACTGATTTTTGTGATCCCCAATTTCAGACACTTAGCCTGTGATGAGGAGAGAGTGGAAGAAGCAAAATTACTGGTGACCCAAGGAGCAAGTATTTACATTGAGAATAAAGAAGAAAAGACACCCCTGCAAGTGGCCAAAGGTGGCCTGGGTTTAATCCTCAAGAGAATTGTAGAAAGTTAAGCAGCTTGGTTCTTTGTATGTTTTGTTGTCCTCACTATCCTGGAAACTCTTGTACTATGCACAAGGCAGCTTGAATAAATGAAAACGTTTTCTCACCTTGATAATGTACTGCTCCTGCTGAAGTACCTGTTCTAAGCTTACAGCCCACTTTTCAGGCATCGAAAAACTGTTGGGGTTATCCTACTGCTGTAGTTTATTGTCTCCATTAAATCTTGATTAATTTGGAGTAAGTGGTCCTGTGACTGTCATGAGTCTTGAGCATCCTTCCATCCACCTGCTGTCTTGTTGTGGAACAGAACATGTCCAGAAGCAGGCAGCCAATTGTTCTGTCGGATGGTTGGTTGTAGGTGGCTTCTGTGCAGGTGAAAGAAATCCTGACTTGTTTTTCAAGCTCACCCAGAGACCGATGCCAAATTTCTCTTTTCAACCATGAGATTAATTTATTTTTGTTACAGAGGGATGTTTTGTGTTTTAGTGGACCTCATTTTAAATTGAGTTGTATACTCCTAAAATGATAAGAACAGTAGCCTGTGTGCCATGTACCTTTTTAACTAGCCGTTTTCCTCCAGAATAGACGTCTTTTTTTTTTTTAAAGAAAATATGTCTATATTGACTCACCTTGATTTGAAACGTATTGTCAAGCTTATTAAATGATATATAACAAAAATATATTTTGATTTGTATTTCAAGTACTACAAACTTGCATTTCAAATACTACAAGCAATAAACTGTTGAAAGAATCTCCCAAATTCTCTTTCAAGTTGGTTACACATTCACTTAAACCTTAAAATCTTGAGGTAAGCTATATTTTTCAGTTGGGGTAGTTCTAAAGTCAATAAAATTAGTGGAGCTCGAACTGCAACTAAAATCCATAAACATAGTAATCTTTTGAATTTCCAAGATATGTAGCATGAGAGGAAACTAATAATTATAAACTTCAGCTCTTTTTAGTGAAACATCTTAATTGATTAGTAGTCAGCAAATGTAGTCCAAGTGACTCTTTTAATTTTAATTCTATGCTGCAATTGTTGCTTGAAAGATGAGATCTAAATAAATGTACAAACTTTCATTAATTTTTGGTTAGAGACTTACATTACCAGTCAGTAAAATGAGCCTTGTACATATTAGCTGCATTATTGTTAATAAAACTTTTTGACATGACCATTCTGAGTGTAATGCTTATTAGAACCAATCAGGGAAATATTTCTTATTAAATGAATGTTTGTTAAATGTTAATGGAATTGATGAAATTTATTCATTTCTAGTGGGCTTTTTTCTAATAGGATCAGAAAGTAACACTTGTCTGATAGGGTCTGATGTGGGGGGAGGTGTTAGAGGCCTTTCCTTTTACAAATTTCTTCAATAAACTGTACAGATCAAACAAAGCTTCAGAAAATTGATAGGCTCTTAATATTACTTAAATCATTTAATTATATAAACCAGGATATTAATTATCTCTGACATTGATCAAATTATTACTTGTTCCTATAGGAAAGCAAATAGCAACAGAGCTCATTCAGGTCAATATGTCTTGTAATAACAAAATGAACTCAGAGATTATGTTAATTCAATTGTGATGCTAACAAAGACTATAATATAGAAAAAAATAGGTTAATGGAAACAAAATCTAAGATCTTTATGCGTAGATGTGTTTGTTTTGAGTCTGGGTTCATGTATATGAATGTAGTGCCTGCTACAGCCAGAAGAGGTCATTGGGTTGCCCAGGGCTGGAGTTAAATGCAATGAGAGCTACCTGACATGGGTGGTGTGAACTTGGGTCCTGATCAAGCACAGTACCTGCTCTTAACCACTTAGCTCCAGCCCTGAAACTGACAGGTGTCACATACTAAAGTTTCTATGATAGAAAATTAACATATTAACATGTGAATTAACATTTCATTTAGGTTCTATATTTGAGGTAAATTTGTGTCTCACCATGATCTCACCATGTGTCTTAGTTTATCTCTATGGCCTCCAGTATAATTCCTCAGTTACACCAACTCCAATGGATTTCCTATATGGCTTTGTCTGGATTTGTGTCTGTTTTCATATTCTTTCATCGATTTTATTGAGCCCCCAAATCAGTCTGTTGGTATATTTACTAGAGTATGAAAAATTCTTTACTTTGGGGATCATGGCTTCAGCTTTATAGGTCTATTGACTACCTAAAGCAGAACTTTTTGTATTTTTCTCTGTTTATAGTTTTTAATTCACACTCTCCAATGGAGCTATGAATCCCCAAAAGCTCCCCTAAATGATCATAAGAAAAAACACCAAATCAATTGTCAGAAGATCTAGTTCAACAATAGTAGTAAGTCTCCATTTTGTAAGACTTTTTTACATCTATTCTCACTGTAATCTTTAAGGCAGAAATCATCTCCATTTTGAAGATAATACTGAGAGCTGCAGAAACAGCCAGTCACAAAACCTGGTCTCCATAGTACCCAAACTTTTTTGTGGTGTATGCTCAAACAATGAACCAATTAGAAGGTACTTTGGTCTTTTCACCATCACTGGGATTATTTGTAACACCTACCTTGTACTTTTCTTTGAATTAGCAGTGGCATGCATTCATTTTGTTTCATTCCTGTGTTCCTAACATACAGCTCCTAACACCACTCTGGGTTCCTAAGTGCTAAAAGTGAAAGGGTGCCTTAATACATAGCTCCTACAGCCTTTTGAATTTCCTGAGAGTCCAGAGAAACTTGTTTGAGTTATCAGATCTTGATGGGCTTCTGGAGCTTCAAGGTAAGTAGAGACTGTTCACCAGAATGGGCTGTGATCAAAATCTTGGAACATTGGGTTCCACCCTTCTAATACTCTGGTACTAGGTTGGAGGTTCAGTTAAGCTTACTCGTGAAGCCTCTACATAAAAATCTCTTAAGCTGCAGGGCTTGGCGGCCTTCCAAGTGTCTGAATACATCCACATGCCAGGAGAGTAACGCACCCTGACTCCATGGGAACAGAAGTTCCTGTGCACAAGACCCTTTTGTACCTCACCCTAGGTACCTCTTCAGTTAGTTGTGAATAATTACCTTTTGTAACAGCCTTTCCAATAAACTGGTAAATATAATTCAAATGTGTCCATGAATTCTGTGAGCCATCAAAGTAGCTTATTGAACCTAAGTAGGAAATTAGGAAAATTTCTAATTTGTATCCACTTCACAAGGAAGTGTGGATGACCTAAACACTGACTATGGACTATGAATGATACCTGATGTAGACAAATGGAGGGCAGTATTATGGGACCTCATGATATATGGGGTTGGGTCAGTATCAACTCTGGTAATGGCAGAATTGAATTCAGTTGTAGAGGACACAGTTGATGCCCGCAGCAAATTGCAGTGTTGTTGGGTGCGAAAATTTTGGCATCAAGATTTTTAAACGTACATATAATAGTGTCCCTTTTATTGGCATACCTTTAAAAAGTCTTTCCAGGAGCCCACATCATATTCTGTGTTCTTTGATTTTTAAACCATGCTTGTTGTTGTTGTTGTTGTTTTGTGACAGTTTCCTCTGTGTGGCCCTGCCTGTCCTGGAACTTGCTTTGTAGACCAGGCTGGCCTTGAACTCACAGAGATCTGCTTGCCTCTGCCTCCTGAGTGCTGGGATTAAAGGCATGCATAAAGACAAATGAGGTTACTAGCTGGTTTTTTTTTCTTTTGATACTTTTATGGTGCCTTGTAACTTACTTTCCAATATATATGCTTGATTTTGGTTTTTTATTTTGTTTGTTTGTTTGTTTGTTTTGCTTTTCACACAGGGTCTCTGCTATGTAGCCTTGGCTGGACTGGAACTGATTATGGAACCCAGGCTGACCTTGAACTTCTGGCAATTGCCCTACCTCTACTTTCTGAGTGCTGGAATCCAAGACATGCACCATGATACTTGGTCTGAAAACTAACTTTTGTTAGGACAACTTGTGTTTGTTTCATTGCAATTAGGTTGGTGCAGTTGAAAGAGCATTATTACACTTGGAACCTATCATCTCAGACCATTTTACCTTTTCCTCTGTGTCGGAAGCTGTCTTTGTGGGGCTGCAATCAGAACAAGCCGAGCGGCCCCAAATGGGGGTGTGTGGATGAGGGAAAGGCTAGTTATAGACAATAAAGAAAAGAGGGAGACACAGAATAAAAGCCAGGAGGGCAGATCAGTCAATACTGAAATGCCACGAGTTTATTTTTCAACACTCTTATATACTTTAACCAAAAATGGGAACACAGTATCATGTATACAGAACAGACTTTTCTTCCTCACTTATTCTAAGGGTTCAGTAACCATAACTTAGCTTCAACTTCTTGTTCCCTAGCCTTGAGGTCAGGAGTAGCCAGCCACACCTCAGATTCAGGTCTGTTGTTATTTAGAATAAGACAGCCAAACATTCCTACAGTAGCCACACCTTTGACCTTTAGGGCTTGTGACTTACTGAGGACAATTTTGAACTCTCTGTCCTTGTGCCAAGATGGAGTGCAGCCATCTTTATGGGCACCGACACCTCTGGAAACTGAGTGAGCATTTACAAGGACAGCATGTTTCTGCAAAGTAATTGCCCAATTCCTGACTCACACAAGAATATTCTCCATTTTCTAGCAGCTTCAGCCCTCTTACTGTCCAGAGTCACTGTGTGGGTGCTGGAGTTGAAAAAGATGGAGTACTATTAAACCAAGCAATTGCCTTCTTGGGAGTCCAACAGTACTCCTTTGCAAAAGACCATCCCAGCTGGGATTGTTGATGGTTTCCACACCACTCCTCCCCTAGCTTGAGTATCCAACTGCATTCTGCTATCCGGCAACACTATCTGTGCCCTATGGGGATGGGTAAATTCTATAGAGGCCAAGGAAGACTAGATTGGGGTCTCTATCTATGGAACTATGAGGAGGCCCTTATCCTGATAGGTAAGGCTTTCCAGTGTGGACAGCTGGAGGAGGATTGCCCACACCTGTAAGTAACCCCTCACCTGTGTTCTCTGTAAGCACAATAAATTCATTGGTCCCCAAAGGAAAGTTTGGGGGAATTGTGCCGACTTAGCCACTGGGACCTTAGAAGGCGTAGGCATGTATCATCTCATGGGAAGGAATTTTATCAACAGTGTACATAGTATTAAATGAATCCTAATGATTTATCATTATACCTAAAGATCAGTACAACACCAACCCTTACCAGAGAAGTGTTTTATTTTTTTGTTTTTTTGTTTTGCAGTTAGAGAGCCATAACTGGTCAATGTGCAGATAATAAGATACTGTAGAATACTCCTTAAATGCGATGTCTATATCACACTCCCTCTTCCCAGGGTTCAGGTATTGTAGAAGAGAAAGGCAGCAAGAAAGAGCCAGAGGCAGTGGGTGAGTACAAAGAAATGGTCTTTTCCAGACACAGAGCACCAGTTCCACATAGAAACTCAGGGTTGTGACAACATGTACTAGACCTGTGCAAGCTCATACTAGACGAAATTCTAGCATTGAGATAGGAGGAACAGCCAGCCAGGTTGGGGTGGCACAAAAAGCCAGGCAGTGGTGGTGGCACACACATTTTATCCCAGCAGAGGCAGGAGGATCTCTGTGAGTTTGAGGCCAGCCTGGTCTGCAGAGTGAGTTCCAGGACAGTCTGGACATGCCCACCCTCCCCAAAAAAGAGAGGGAAGGAATGTAATGTCCCACCCACAGCTAAGGAGATAGCAACTGCTAGCTGCCAGGAGAGTTGGTTTTCTTTAAGTGTGTGATCCTAGTAGGTTAACCATGCTCCAGTGGAGGGCCATACACCCAAGAGTATATGGGCAGCACAAATTATACTGAGTGCTCTTTTTTTTTTTTTAAGACACAAAGTTGAACGGGTCAGGGAGGGGATGGATATGGTATGGGAGGAGTTGGGGGAAGGGAGTGAATATGATCAAAACACATTGTATGAAGTTATCAAAAGAACCAATAAGAAATGAGAAAAATATAATACTAATTCAACACGATATCATCATATTCCCATTAGAATGTCTAACATCAAGCTGGGCTTGGTGGCTTCACCTGTAATAATAGCACACAAGGAGGCAGAGGAAGGTTGCTCATGACAAGGTCAAAGCTAGCCCTTCCAGGTCAACCAGGAGAAAGGAAGCATCTGCTACCCAAAGAAGTTGTTCCATTAACTTCATCATAGGCTTGCTGATAAATGAT